GAAAGAGCCTGAGTTGGTGTGTGAGGCTGAGATGAGTCTGACTAGAGATAGTCAGACTCATCTCAACGCAACGCATGGCATGGCTCTGGAACCAGTTTCCTTGAGAGGGGTTGGACTTTCTACCACTCTGGAGCTGCTCTCACTGTGAAGCGCCGAGTGGGGTGGGCATAGTAGTTGCGCCCCCCCCCATCTTGGTGCCTGTATGTTGGGGTTTACCCAGGGGAATGAGAGGGTAGCCTCCCTCCGCTTACGTGTGGGGGGGGCGGGTTCTGACTGTGGTCTGTGCTTATGCACCAAACTACAGTTCAGACTGCCCACTGTTTTTGGAGACTTTGGAGGGGATGCTGGAAAGTGCTCCTTCCGGTGACTCCCTCGTTCTGCTGGGGGACTTTAACGCTTACGTGGGCAACGACAGTGAGACGTGGAGATGTGTGGTTGGGAGGAACAGCCCCCTTGATCTGAATTCGAGTGGTGTTTTGTTATTGGGGCCTCTGCTCTTCCTCCTCTATCTGCTTCCTCTTCAGCACATCCTGAGCTCCTTCAAAGGAATCTCCTACCATCTTTATGTGGATGACATCCAACTGTACATCTCCTTTAAGCCCCATGAGATGTCTAAGCTGCAGCTGTTACACACCTGCTTAGACTCTATCAAAACCTGGATGGCTGGGAGCTTTCTTCAGCTGAATGAAGATAAGACTGAGACCCTCATCTGTGCCCCAGACAAGCTGGTTCCTAAAGTCAGAGACTCTCTTGGTCAGCATGCTTCCCACACCAAACCTTCCGTCAGGAATCTTGGTGTGACCTTTGACCCAGCTCTCACCCTGAATTCTCATGTCAGTTCTCTTGTTCACTCTTCCTTCTTCCATCTCAGGAACATTGCTAAGCTGAGTCCCATTCTGTCCCGCTCTGAACTTGAGACAGTTATCCACACCTTCATCTCCTCACGCTTAGACTACTGTAACTCTCTTTTCACGTGTCTGAGCAGAACCTCCCTGAACCATCTACAGGTGGTTCAGAATGCCTGTGCTCGGCTTCTGACCAAGTCCTCCAAACACACCCACATCACCCCGCTTCTCCTCCAGCTTCACTGGCTGCCAGTCAACTTCAGGGTTCATTTCAAGATCCTGGTTCTGGTCTATAGGGCCTTACATGGACAAGCACTGTTTTACATTGGTGATCTTCTTAGTCCCTACACCCCCAGCAGGTCCCTGAGGTCCAGTGATCAAAGCCTACTGGTTGTGCAGCACCAGGCTAAAGACCAAAGGTGACAGATTATTTGCTGTTGTGGCCCCAGACTCTGGACCTCTCTCCCCCTGAGCCTGAGATCAGTGGAAACCTTTAAAAAGCAGCTGAAAACTCACTTGTTCAAAGTGGCTTTTGTATGACCTTCTTCACCCCCTCTCTCTTTATTACGCTCTCCCCACCTATTCCACCTTCCTCAGGATCCACTGATTTCCCTCTTTCCTATTCACTCTCTCTCTTTCTTTATTAACATTTTTCAATCACAATTGTCTAGTTTTTTGCTCATTTTAAATATATTTTAACCATTGTCTAAATATATATTTTTTATATTTTTACATGTTTTGTTTTTGTGATGCGTCTCGTGATTTTTTATCTTGAGAGGCGCTATAGAAATGGTATTATCTTCTTCTTCTTCTATTGGACTTGTGTGCTAGTCATGGATTGTTCATAATGAACACCATGTTCAGACATAAAAGTGTCCATATGTGCTCTTGGCACCAGGATACCTTAGGCCGCAGCTCGTTGATCGAAAACATCTGCCTCTTTAGCTCCTGATCAGCTGATGACAGCTTCAACACACCGCTCAACTTAACGCATGCATTTTCTTATCAGTAACAGAAACGTTTTGATAAAAGACGACGGCAATTAATTAGTTTGCTCGTTACTGAAAGAAATATTTTTCTTTGTAACGCGGTTATTTTAAACGGTGTCAGTA